GTTCGCAGGGGAGATGGGAGTCATAGCAAATACACTTTTCAGGTTTGGTTACTCCTGACTGATGGCATGCCGTTTTCAGCAAGTAAAGCCAAAACCTTGCCCACAGCAGCAGCAGCAGCATACTCCAGATGAGTCCCCTGCCTACTCTGAGCAGCAGCAGATTAGGTAATTTTGCTTCCTTATTCCTGGCTCCCCTCTCCTGCTGCCAGCCCTGGTTCATGCTTGTGTATTTGCTTTAGTCAGAGGCCAACGTCACCCACAGCCAAGGAATCTAGCCTAGTTCATGATGGCTATGTGAGCTCTATGGCTGTGGTGAGGTATTGGCTGCCTAGGGAGGTGGTGGGGTCACCATCCGTGGAGTTCTTTAAGGAAAAGATAGATGTGGCACTGAGTGACATGGTTAGTGAGCATGGTGGTGATGGTTTGATGGTTGGACTAGGTGGTCTCTGTGATCTTTTAATGATTCTGCGTTCTCTTGTTGTCAGGAGAGAATTCATCTTTTGTGACTTCGTCTTCTGAAAAAACTGCAGAACAGAAATTCAAACTGCTGCGTGTAGGTATCAAGTGTTTGCTGTGATGTATTCACCAGAAAAAGACAGGGTTGCAAAGGCAGTTACAGCCCAGCAGACTCCATGTAGACTGTGACATCTGATTTTACTCAGGTGTTCAAAACAGGAGATGTATTTCCAAGATAAGAATGGTCTCTGGCTACATGAAGACATCTGCAAATCCAGTCTTTATTCCCAGTGGGTGTTTCTCAACAGATCTGAAGGTCAGATTGTTTCATTTAGATATCTAAACGAGCACTTATCGCTTCTGAAGTTCTGGCCTTGGCCAAATGCACCATAGCCAAGAATGAAAGTGACATGAAATTGGAAAGAACAAACTTCCAGGTTAACCTCTGCTTACTGGAAGAATATGAAACATCTCAGATTTATTTCCCAAATCCAGCTCAGGTTTCATCTGTGTTGAACAGTTAGTACATCATAGAAATAACTGGGAATTCCATGAATCCATTGACTTGTCTGGCAGCAGGGTCTTTGTGTTGTATGCTTAATGGTTTGTAATGGCTAGAATACATAAATGCACCCAAATCCAGACAGGTCTTTAAAAAAAAAAAAAAAAAAAAAAAAAAAAAAGATTTAAAAAATGATCCTAAAGGAATTGTTTCAAAATAGTGATCAAAATTTGCCTACCTTTCCATTTTACCCCAAAATTTATGCCTTCCTTGTCACTGTTCCTCCTTCAGAGAAGGCATCCTTATACATGTTGTGTGATGTTATCCTATGTCCATCACAGCATTGTCTATCACATCTAGGTCCTCATGGGGACTCGAATAGGGCTGGTTGGTTAATGCCATCCTGCCTGTAGATGCTATCAAGTCGTTTTTGGAGAAAAGTATATGTCCTAACTCAGGCTTTGTTCACTGCTGCAGGATGTGACTCACTGACTGACCATTGGCCCTGTTATAGAAATGTGGTCTGTTTCTAAACAACCCCAGATTTATTGGGTTTGGACATCAACAGGTTTCTGTCATGTCCGTGGGTTTCCGGCAGGGGATGAAACGAGCGTTAACGCAAAATGGCCGCCAAGCCCAAAACTTATTGAAGATTCTGGCAAACTTTTTCTGGGTGAATGTGTCAGTTAGTTGGCTGGTTGCCATTAACTTCAAAGAAAATGGTATTAATTGGGGGCTACAGCATTCAGAGACTGTCTTGAGAAGTGAGTGACCTGTCCATTGGGCTGTGTAGAGACCAGCATCCTCAAATGAGGAGTGAAAGTTTGCACTGTGAAGGAAGGAAACCCTGGGGAGACTCCTTTGCACATCCTCCTCCAAATGCGCTCAAAGAGTAAGAAAACAGCAAACCCCATCTCAGTAACTGTCAACCTTAATCTTGTGAGCATCCTTTACAGTCAGTTCAGCCCTGCAACATTCGGTTTAGGTGACACTGACAGGATATCTGCAGTCCTAGGATATCCAGTCCCAGGATATCTGCAGTCCAGATTTTTAAACACGTAGTGTTAAGTTACCTAGGTGATTTTTGGAAAAGCAGCCTCTCACTATACAGTACAAAAGTCAGTGCCATGAAACTGTTAATCGTAATAAGAAATACTTATATGAGGATACAAGTCAAGAGAGATTCTTCTGTATCTTGTGTTAACTGTATCACAAGTAGAATGTGCTGTCATACACCATAAGAAAGGAGGGAACTGATCTAGCAGACATCTGGTCTGGATGAATTTGCCACGTGTGAACTTGTAATCATATGCTAATGATATGATTTCACACTGTTTACAATCCCAGCAGCATGCTGGTTGTAATTATACTTCAGTCAGAGAAAAGGCCTTACTGGCTTCAGTCTTTCATTGGTTGTTTGTGCCCAGCCACCCTGTCTCCAGATATGTAACTTTACACCTACCATCACTTCTGGTATAGGAGAACCACCCATGCATTGGTGAATTCATACTCACAAACTCTTGCAAGGGGAGGAGAGAATGTATTTATTGCCACTTTTTGAGTGAAGAAATTAGTGATAATGGTTTTCAATTTGTTTCTAAGAGCAAAGGCAGAAAACTCTCAAACTTTTGAGCCAAAAGCCTACAAACATCTCCCACTGCTTGCCTTGCCAGAGAAATGCTGCTTCTGACAGAGTGTTCTTGTTAGTTTGTATTCTTACCTCATTAGTCAAGGATTTCTTATTTTTTCTGTAGTTCATCTTGTCTAATAAGCTCTCCCAAAGGCATCTGATTTTATGCCTAGGAATAATTGTCTTGTCTCACAGTGACCATGTGTTTGCTAGAGCTTGCCCTCTGTCCTTGCTGCAGTGTATATAATACAATTAAACTCAGTCCTGGCCTCGTAATGATAGCAGTTGAAGTGCAGCTGTAACTCAGAAAATGAAGCAAGAAAATGAGGAGTGGAAAAAAGAAGAAACTGCTCACCCCTCAACAAAGTTTCAGTATTCTTCAGGGCTGGTGGTGTGGTTTGGAACAGGGTGCTGACATCTGTTTGTAATGGATAGAAAAGTGGCCTTCAATCACTCCAACACCACCTTCCATAAAAAAGTCAGCCCTAATTATCAGCATGGCTGTGACATTGAGAGTCTGGTCCCGAACTGTGAATTTTGCACTGTAACCTTTTCTCTTTCCCAGTGCCCTTTTCTTGTTGCCAGAACAAAGAGTGCTCAAGCACATCCTCACTGCCAAGCTTTCTTTGGAAAAGAGCCTTAACTCTGTATCTTTGTACTGAGAAATTGAGGACATTGAAGCATATCTAAACTGTTGATGTCAGGGTAGGAGCCCCAACATTCCTCTCTCAATGTCTTGGATGCCCAAAAGCATGGCAAATGCATATATGACTATTTTAGTGGTAAGTAACCCATACAAAGCCCAATGGATCTGTGGAAATCTGAGCCTCCTCCTTTGGCTGCAATGGTAGCAGAGTGCTGAGAATCAGGCAGGATTGTGCCCGTAGCTCAGTTCAAAAAGATGTGCCAAATTAGTAGGCATAATCAAGAATGACATTGAGTAAGAGGTAAGAAAGACTAATCAGATGCTAACTTAGCTGATGCTGGCATTATTGAAAGCCTGGGGACATAGTCCAAGGATAAAAACATAATGTCTTATCTAACCAAGGAGTCATTTGTGCACCACTGGTTACAACATGTACTTAAAAAAGGAAAGAAGGAAAAAGGTATCTATGGCACATGAGATTATTTTATGCCCCAGAAATGATAAGAAAGGAAAGGTAAGTGTTCCTGCACCCAATCTTTATAGGGGAAAAGCCTATCTAGTGTTAACCCATTGCAAAGTCTACTGCAAGTCCCAAGGATGTGGACAAATCTTGACTGCCCACATATGAAACAAAGATTGTGTAGATGAAATCAATCTGAATACATTTAGAAACTCAGTTTTGGCATATTTCTTGCTATTTTGAGTTTGCTAGGATACACGGGGCCGCCCTGATCTGTGGTTCAGTGAAAGTTCAGGCCATCTGGCAATCACTTTTTTTCTGGCAACGCACTTCCCTGTTTCTCAAGACTTCTTTCCTCTAGATTCAACAGGATGTTGAACTGTATCTTGCAGAACAGCTCATGGAAAGGAAGGGCTCTCTGACACACAACAACGTCACTGGAGATGGGACTGTAAGGTCCAGGAAGGCATCTGGAAGATGAAACCAGGAGTAAACCAACTACTTCAAGGTACAATTCTGGGGGAAATTCATGGCTGTGTTTTATTTCCAGTCTTTTGTGCTACATGTCACAGTGAAAAAGACTTTTACGCATAATTTGGTAAGTTAAAAACCCAACAGCACAGTCCCTGGGGAAAAGCTGGAATTATACTTCCATAACACGGGCCTTTCCCAGGAAAGGAAAACATAAGTCAACGTGAAATGAAGCACCACACATCTGTGAGGGAGTCTGCCTGGTTCTTTCCAGCCTTTTCCATTTCTGTCATTTGCCATCACTTGAAATCTTCTGCCCCAGCAAATTGCAACTGCAGCTCAGTGGGAGTTCTGAGAAATTGGGCTGCCTGGAGCCAGGAGGATGGAGAAACAGGACTGGTGGGAGAAATTACCTTTCCTCTGTCCGTGGGGCAGGGTGAAAGCATGCATCTGGCTGTAATGATTCCTCATTTTCCCCTTCCAGTCGTACGCCGGGATGTGATCCATGTTCTCTTGGCAATGCCTCAAGCTCTGAACACCGATCTGTCTTAACGGTCGTCAGCCAGTGGTGGCACTGACTCATGGCTTCAGCAGCTTCAAGTGACATCACTTGATCTTTTCCCAAGGGCTGGTAGCCAAGCAAGGTGACATTGCAGTGGCACGGCAAAAGCAGTGCATATGTGAACGCCTCTCTGCAGTCCTTCTCAAAATGTTTGCGCAGGAATGGCCATAAACTGGGCTGTATTGACCCAAAGATGCAATCCAGGTTGTTTGAGTCTAGGCCTTATCTGTACCATATTATCAGGACTGAGAGCGCAGATGCACCCCGGGAAGGGAGGGGACTGCAAGCAAGAAGGAAAGGTTTCGTCCCTTCTCTGCTGGCATGGGGAGGGGACTGTGGGCAGAGCTAGGTAATGATTTGTCACAGAGAGGGCTGGGGTGTCTCTCTTTGCAGAGGAAAACTTGGCCGTGATTGACAGTAGGGCTGTTTTTGCTGCTTCCCTTGCAGTTGACAAGTAATAATGAAGCTGTGTCAGTCCATCATGGACATGGATATGCCAGATTACGTCGACTCCTTGGATTCCTCTTATACCATGCTAGAATTTGAAAACCTTCGGGTTCTTCCAAACAACACTGGTGAGATTCCTATTCGCTTCCTCTATAATAACCTCTACCGCCGTTGTTAAAAAGCTGAAAGCGTAGGGCAGGCAGGTAGGAGGTGTGGGGCAAAGGGTGAAGAGGCAGTATTTAAGCAGCTGACCTTCCAACTTCAGTTGGATCGGCAGTAATATTTGGGCTGAAATGGGATGGTTTCACTTCCTGGTCCTTTTGGAGTTATTCATTTCCTTGGTCTGCGAAGCATCATGTCCTGAAGAGCCTACAAGATACTGCAAATGCCGGTGGAGCTCTTGATGGCATACCACGCATTTGGCTCCCTACATGACTTATGCAAAAAGTTATTATCGATATTTCTGCCTTAAAATTTATGTTTCACTCCTATATATGGCTTGGATTCTTATTTAACTGTTGGGAAAAAAAATGCCACCCACATGGCTATTCACACAATGTACCATGTATCCGATACTTGTTCATAGATACTTAGATTGAGAAGCAATATCCAAAGGATCACTTGACTTATTTTTGGTATCTTGGTATCAAAATGGTCTATTGGCTCTTAGGACACATAAAGAATGTGGCTGGGATTCATTAAGTTCAATATAGGAAGACTTTCACTTTGGTCACAGAATTAAAGCGTACTGTGTGATATTTGGGATTTGTGCAGAGTCAAGGGTGTTCTAGATTAAAGAAAACACTATTCTGTGACATTAATTGTTCACTGCCTGAAAAGCAGAGGACATTTGAGTTGTACAGCATAAAACCAATCATGTAACTGAGATTCTAATGTTGGTGATGCCTTTGGAGAGTTTTGGCTATATTTCATTTAACTTGTTAAGAAGCTTAGTGAAATGGAGATGGGATTTTTATGGTCTCACATTTTCTCATTAGTTGACTCCTCATCAAAAAATAATCAACATTTTTAAAGGGCTATTATCTACAACATAAAATGTTTGGAATTATTATAGTGGGAAACGGAATTTCTCAGGAGAAAAATGAAGTAAAAAGGCCCAAAGAATTCAGAATTTAAAATTAGCTTCAAGAAAAGTTCTTTCTCTGTCCCAAGAAGGATCGTTCTTTTTATTATTATTATTATTATTTTATTATTTTTTTGCTAGATACAGATCTTATTTCTTATTTTTGTGGGAAGGTTTTGAGACACCACTCTACTCCAAAAATGACATTTAACGCAGATATTTCACTTTATCACTCTGCTGAACAGCAAGATACTTTTTACTTTTTAGAGTGGTATAAATCTCCTCAAAATTCAATATAATTTCGCAAATTAATTACCAAAACCTGCTAGGGGCTCTTTATGTTTTTTTTTTTTATTCAGTAGAACTGACAGGCTGAGTCTTTCTGAAGTTTATCTTGATCAGTGTTGGGTTATTTGTTTAGCTGTTAATGAGTAACTGGTTCTCTCAGGAACTAGCTGTTTTGAAATTAGCTTGTTTGTCTTGGGTAAGTGTCCTCTTCTACAGTTTGTGAAAATAACTTGAAAAAAGACCTCAGATGTCCATGCCTGGAAATGTACTGCTAACCAAACAAGTCATCTCCTGTAGATAACTCAAAACTGAAGTTCACAGAGATTCAAAAATATTTTAAAATTGTCGGAATCAAGAAATAATGTTCTTTTAGATAGTTTAAAAAATGTAATGGAGTTGTTTAAAACCAAATCTACCTCATTGAGTGAAATTATTCTTCCTTTACTAAACTGAACTGCAATTTTACTGTATTATATAAGCTTGAACAGGATGGGGTGCCACAGGAACTTTAATGGTATCAGAGCTGTTGCTTACATGCTGAGTGATGTGAAAGCGAAAAATAGAATGTTTTCAAATGAGGCAATTCATTCTTAAAAACAACTCTTTTCTTCTTTGGAATATAATTATTTCATCAAAATCTGGGGTTAATTGATGATGTGGAATGATTTGACGGCTAAGATTCAGAAGTTACAGTTCTGAGATGTGCCTAGATACATTTTGAATCTTCCACCCCTACGTAGGTCATAATTTGCCAAACAGTTCAAAATAAGAGTAGAATCCATTACAGGAGTAGAGGGGAAGTTTAAGAAACTATCTGTTTTAAATAGAAAGAAAATCAAAAGGAAGTCAATGAAAATCAATGTTAATCCTTCATTTCCTTTGTAAAAATACATGTTGTAACTGCAGAAACTTGCCCATTTGGTAGAAACTTGTTTCCTTTACATTGGCTGGCATTGCAAGCCATCTTCTCACTTGGTTTTTTTATGTGCTGCTAATACCCACTTCCTTATGCTCTTGTCAGAGTTGTCATCTTGCTTAAAATATGAAGCAGTATTAAAATATTGCACTAATTCTTTAGTCAAATTTTCTCCCACTGCAGTGCTTGTTTTCCTTTCTCAGCACTCAAACACAGCTCTGAACCTTGAGAATTTGGCAAATGTTGGCAAAACCCTGTTCCCAGCCCCACTGCACCTTGAACTGGCTGAAAGCATGAAAAAACCATCTCAGAACATTTGCCCATTAGAAAGTGCAAATGATGAGCATCCGAACCACAGGCCAAGACTGGCTTGGATTTCTGGTGCATGGAAGGGAAATCCAGGAAGCACTGCTTGGTGTCAAATATGCATTCAGAAGAGAAAGAGATTGCCTTGAAGAGATTGGCAACCAATAGCATAACTGAAAGGAAAAGCAGAAAAAAGGTCTGAGGGGTCAGGTATGCTGATCTTCAGCTCTGAATGGAAGCCAGATACCATCCCCTAGCAGCATCCTCACTGTTATTTCTTATTATTGTAAATATTGTCATCTTCACTGCAGCCCCAGTTAGGTAACGGCTCACATATTAGTGCAATACATAACAAAAAGTTATATGCATTCAAGTTTGCAAGTTTAATTGGCCCTAAAGCTGACAAATATGCTGGGATACCCTTATAGCTAGGTAGAAGCATAGAATCACTTAGGTTGGGAAAGACTCTTAAATAATCAAATTCAGCAATCCAGTTAGGCTATGGTTCCTGTGCTGCATGTTGCTCATACGTAGAATCATGGAGTCATTAAGGTTGGAAAGACCTAAGATCATCTAGTCCAACCATCAACCCATAGCTCACAAAAGGCATGAAGCTGAAACTTTAGGGATGATCCTAATGAGGAGTTTGGTCACAACCACAGGTCTTCAGCTCAGCTCAGGACCCAATCAGTGGAAGATGAGTTATGGTCTTTGCTTGGAGAATATCCTCATCTTCACCTTGCCAGCAGAAATTGCAGAGGTACTGTGCTGGCATGGGTTAGGAGTTGTTCTGTTGTATCACAGCCATGAACATCTGTAACTGATCCATTTCTGAGCATCTCTCCCTGGGGATCTCAGTGATGAATGCCAGGCAGCAACACCTCTGGAGAGGCACAATGTGTTCCATGATGTGTTGAGCAGGTCCTTGTCTCGTGTCAGTAAGGAAAGAACCTACAGTTTTCAGCTGATTTCACAGGCATGCAACAATGATGGCATGGATCCTGGCTTTCCTCTGCCTTTCTTAGCAGTGATTAGTTCTGGAAAAAGCCAGACATTCCCCAAATACTGAGTAGGTTTGAAAGCCCCAACAGAAGTTACTGGATGCACGCAATCCTTTCTGTTTTTCTGAGCTAATTCTCATTAGGAACTCATGATTAACTGGCAACAGGATTTTGTAATTAAAATTAATCATTGCAAGTGACATATGCATGCCAGCTTGTGGCTTTCTTTTATCTTTAAAAATTTCTACTCTCATCCAGCTCAGCTGAAGAGGACATGGGGGACTGAACTATTAGCTATATATCTGCCTGAACATACAGCCACCCAACAAAACTGTAGCAGAGGAGGGCAAAATTTGGCTCCATGGGCCCTCACCTGCAGCTGGTGCCTATGCCTCCAATATGTACCAGGTTTAAGACCAGAATATCAATTTCTTACCGAACACAGTTCCTCACATGTCTTACTCCCATGCAGGGTACAAAACAACACCCTTTTCTGGTGAACAAATGCTTTTCCAGCATCATTTTGCAATCTTGACCCAACTGAAGAATGAAGAGTCTATTTGGGAACCAAATTGTATGACCTTGGCTTGATTCCTCTGAAGTCAGTAGAGAAAGCACGGGTGGAGTGAGGAGAAAATTGGCTTTCTTATCTTTATTTTTGTTGTGCAATTTTTTTTTAATGGGATCCAGCACATTTGGTGTATTTGTTTTTGTTCAAATATTCCTTCAAAAAAAGAACAGATGAAGCAACAGAAGCACAAATGTTTAGCCGTACAGCTACCTTTGAAGGAGTATTCCAGTACAGCTTACTTAAAGTTATCAAATCAATATTAAATATAGAATCAATGTAAAAACATCTAAAAATCAATTTGAATTACCATTAAGCACTTCTCACATGGACTCTGTTTGCACTTACCTACTGATGAATGTCAGAGCTGCAGCATGGCACATGGGTTATGGCAACAGGTAAATCACAGTTCCTGTCATTACAAACCAAGAATTATTTCAGTATTGTCATTTTCAATTCTTGTGTTGCTCCCAGGTCATTCCAACCTACTCATTTGCTCACCTGTGTGTTAGAAGGTGAAATAGAAATGAAAAAGTCTTTCTGAGGATGCAAACAGAAATCTGACCTTTGCATTTGTGAAGTCTTAGCTAAAAATGTCTTCATCTCAGCCTTAGCTAACAAAATTCCCATTAAAAAAAAAAAAAGAAATCAAGCCTTATTGGCTTTTCAAGGGGGCTTTTTATTACGATTTTCATTGCATAGTAAATATTTTCCCTATAAATTTTTGATGAGTATTTACATATAAAAATAACATTCTGTGTATTTATATGTAAGTTGCGTGAGGATGACCCAAAGATATTTTTACACATTATGCATTAGAAAACATTCTCTAGACTGCCCACATCAAGTACCAATTCCTCCCCCTCAAGTAATTTTCTCATTTTTCTCATTGTTCGATACACCATCAGCTGAGCTGTTCTCCCTTCTGCCCAGCTCTCTTGTCCCAGAGCCTTCCCTAGGTCACTGCAGGACGAGATCAGCTCCTCTGGAGCAAAGAACACACTCCCAGAGGAGTGATAAATTCACAAAACCATCCTGCAGTGAGTGCTCAGGTCAGGACAGACTCCACAAACATTCCTTCTCTCAGCAAGATGTAAACACTGTCATCTGCATCTTCTCATGTCTCTCTCTCTTTTTTTTTTCTTTTCACCCAAGCTCTGCCTCGAATGAGGAGGATTCAGAGGGATTCAGAGGGCAGTGTGTCTGGTGGTTAAGGCCAGGGGAGAAGCTTAATGGGGAACTTTCAGCAGTGTATACACACAGCCCAGGCAGAGCTATTCCTGCCCCAAATGAGTGGGTGCAAACAGTGGGCATTCATATGACATAATTTTAGGTGTCAGATTTAGAAGGTCAATCCTCCTGTGCTCCTCTGTAAGCAGTGGAACGTAATGGCCCTCTTCAGTGGGTAAAGCAGAGGAGAAACCACACTGAGGGGAACGAAAGTGACTCTTGTTTGAGCTTCTGTCTCTCTCTCCCAGCTGCAGAGGTGACCCCGAGGTGTCTTTCTTTCTATTGTGTGCATGAAGTAGTTCATCTTTCCTGTTTCTTCTGTCTTTTCTCTGCTTTCTATTTATTTGAGCTAACCATGTTTTTCTTCCAGTGCTTTTTGTGGTGCAGGCTTTGGATCATGTTCTTCAGCTGTCTAACTGGGGAGATGGCTTTCCATCCCTCAACACCGTGTATCTTGCATCCAGATAAGGTTTCTCTGCATCTGGTCTCCCCAGAGCCTTTTCTTCAACCTGGAGAAAGAAGGCTCCAGGAGGGCCTGAGAGTGGCTTTTCAGTATCTAAAGGAGCTATAAGAAAGAAGGAGACAAATTCTTCAGCAGGGTCTGTTGTGACCAGACAAGGGGAAATGGTTTCAGAATAAAGGGGGGAGATTTAGGTAGGATACAGGGGAGAAGTTTTCTGCAGTACAGGTGTTGAAGCACTGGCAGAATTTGCTTCATAGATGTGATGGGCACTCCATCCCTGGAGACACCCAAAGTGAGACTGAATGGGGCTCCAGGCACCTGATAGAGCTGTAGGGGTCCCTATTCATTGCAAGGAAGTTGGACCAGATGGCCGTTAAAGATCTCTTCCAACTCATATGATTCTATGATTTGTCAAGAAAAGCAGCAGTAATTGTTCAGTTGTCATGAATGCACTGGGTTATAAGCCTTGAAGTCTCCCTGCTCACTGAGGCTAAGAAAAATACCACTATCCAGCAGCAAAGCCAAGTGAGCTAGTGCCAGCTGAGGCTGAGAACAGCATGGCTTCCATCTGGAGGTTTCACCAGCAAAACACACAGTGTGTGCACACGCTGGTAAGGGGCGGGCTCAGCGCATGATTTATCTGACAAAAACCAACCTGCTGTCTGTTGATTCTGGTTTCCATCACAGAGGAGGCCAACGGGCGCTGTTCAATGCCCGCAGAGACCATCACAGCTGAATCAGCCAACACCAACCTGCTCAACAATGGCATTGGCTCCCTTTGCTCCATCTGCGGGGACCGGGCGACAGGCAAACACTACGGGGCATCCAGCTGTGATGGCTGCAAAGGCTTCTTCAGGAGGAGCGTCCGCAAGAACCATGTCTATTCCTGCAGGTACCTGCCCACTCTATGAGATTTAAATGCCATTGATACTGCAAGAAAGTGGGGCAGTGATCAAGTTGTACAGTGAGGCCCCCCCATCCCTTGTGTTGCATTACTGCGGCGTGAATGCTGACAATAATGATGCAGTTTAACTTGTGGCCAGAAGATAGGGAGCTAAGGAGTAAGCTATGTCCTATCTCATCTCGGACGCTGGCACCTTTCATGACACTGTGCAATCTGTTTTGTGAGTTCATACTGTCATGGTGTGATTCAGGGGAGAAATAGGGTCATGAGGCTTGTGTAAGAGTACAGCCTCTGGATGTGGAGTGACACCACAACCTCATCACAAACCAGCAAGGGAAAGCAAAGGGTGAAAAAGGACCAAAGCTTCAGAGATATCTTCTCAAAGTCTTATTTTTCCTGGTAACAACGTGAAAGCAATAGGCATCCAAGAACCCGTCACTTCCAGAGTCACCACAGCTTCTCCATCTTTGTTTTCAGACACATGGAATTATGCATGCTTACATATCACTGATAATTTTACAATTATTCCGAGAATGTAGCATGGACCAGTGATGATTCACAGCCACTTTGGCACACAGGTACACATTGGAGAGATTTTTTTTCCAGGAGGATGCCATAAATTATAAAGCAGCTATCTTGGTTGGCCTTGGAAAAACGGTGTTTATTTTAGCACAGGAGGAAGAGAAAAAAACTCAAACCCACCCTCAAACTTTTAATCTATGATTAAAACCTGGAAGTTTTCTTTTTGTTCCAGAGTTCTTCTTCCTTTTAAAGGAGTTCCATATTTTTGTAATGCAAGTTGCTCTTTTTGTCAAAATGCTCCTGGGATATTTATCACTCCAGGTCACATCAGCCACAGAAGACACCCAATCTGATATCAGACTCCACCTGCACGGTGCCCATCCCATGCACTGTAGGATCCTGTCAGGAGGATTGAATAGCTACTACTGATTTCTTTGAAATTTTGGCTCTTGATCTCCTGGGAGCATAATTGTTGCCCCTCCCCAGGAATCGATGAATCACTGTGACATTTGGCAGCCTGGGGAGTTGCAGCGTGTAAGCCAAGCAAATGGTAAATGCTTGCCTGTCTGTGAATCCTTATTTGGTGAGCCGTGCTGTATTTAGCCCAGCTCAAAGCTCTGTTGTTTATCGCAGACTTGAATTCCTTGGAAAGCCTTTGGGTTTTTGTACCTTTGGCTTTTTACCAGCCTGGGAATGTGCCTCAGCTTTTACAACCTAATGATGGCCCCGGAGCAACCCACATTGCCTCTTCCCTGCACAACAGATTCCTCTTCCATCCCTTCACCCATAGTGGCCTAGCCTACATGGGCCATCACTTGGATGTTTCTCCATCTCCTGTAGAAATGAAGAGGAATGTGAAGGCCACTTACCTCAAAAGTAGACTATAGGCACAAAAGGGTTTATGGGCCATGGAGCATTTATTCTCTGCAAAGTAAGACAGTGTCAACAAACTGGTCCAAACTAGACACCTGATAGCCATCTGAAAGTGGGAGATGAAGACCCCAACTCCGCCAACCACCAGCCCAACTTGTGTCACCATCACACTTCAGCAGCCAAAACCATCACAGTCCTCCTGGAGTAGATGGTCTGAAATTGCTGCATTCCCAGCTGGCAGTGGGAAGATGGGGAGTGGGGCCAAACCAGCACTGATTCCACCCATTCCCTCCAAGGCCTTTGGCTCCTTCGTGAGTCCTGGGGTTGGGGCTGCTCAGGGTGAGCAGGGCACAAGCCACGTTGCTCCATCTTTCCCATCTCCTTCCAGGTTCAGCCGACAGTGTGTGATAGACAAAGACAAGAGGAACCAGTGCAGGTACTGCAGGCTGAAGAAGTGCTTCAGAGCCGGCATGAAGAAAGAAGGTAGGTGTGAGAAGGCTGCCTGCTGCTGTTTCTGGCCTTGCTCCATCTGTGGGAGGTGGTGGAGGGAAGCAGCAGCTCTTGTCTGAGCTGATGCTGTGTTCCCCACTGAGAGGGTTCTTGTTGCAGCTGAAAACCCCATTTTCCATCTCTTCAGATGGGAATTTCAGCTACAGCTTTGTGCCAATATCCACACATCCTGGGAGGCTTCTCTCTTTAGGTGATTCAATACTGGGAGAGGGATTGCCACCAAATTTGCCCTTTACCTAAGGGGTGAAATCACAATTCCACAGAAACCAATGGGAAATTTTTCACTCATTTCTGGTAATTCATAACTTTTCACCAACGATGACAAGAATCTCTTTCCAAATCCCTGACCATCTGTTTTCCTGGAGAACAGGGTGTCTTGCAATTTGGATAGGTCATGGTTGTAGCTAAAATGCCTGCTGGTTTAGTTTAGGAGAAATGGAGTAAATACAAAGCTGGGAAAAAAAAGTAGTTATCATAGTAATATTAGCCAACCAAATCTGCTCTCAGTTCTAGTTGAGGACTGAGCCAATCACCAATGCAGCAAACTCCACAGTTTGGAAAGGCTGAAATCTGGTTATCAGCTCCATTCTTTCATCTGAAGCGTGATTTTTATTGGTTTTATGGCAAAAGTTATAAAACCTTGGCTCATTCCTTCATTATTGATTGCAGCTTGATGCATGATGACGCATTCCAAGTTCCACATCGCCACATTCCTTGAAACTTATTTTATGAGTGCATGGTCAGGTTGTGTGCTCACAAACTGCTCATGTGTTTGGTACAGAAGGTTTTAAAGCACCTTGAGCAACTGCTCTGTAGGAATTAGCCTAGCTGACCAGAGCTGTATCCAGAACACGTGTGCAGAGCTCAGAAAGAAATTTTCTTGCACAATTGTGTGTACAAAAAGAACGCCGTTGTTTGCTTTAGGTTGGCTCTGGATTAATATTAAACAGTACTGCGAAGCATAAGGGAAGAAGAGAAGCCGTGTCTTGGGGTAGAGCAGGATGATAAAAGTGTTTATACAAATGTTTCAGTGGTATGCACCAACTTGTGCCAGATCCACGACATCCACACTCAGTGTGTCAAGTCGTCCCAGCACTGGCACACAGCGCTTTGACACTTGTTCTCTGGCACATCATTTTTCAACCAGCTCACGTAACAGCAATCAGACTTTCCAGGGTGTGGTAACAGCGCTATTTATTTATTCACCGTAGAGAGAAAAAAGATGGAAACGATCCTTTTCCCAGCCTGGGTGTGGCAATACACCTGGGGCGTGGAGGTGGGGTTGTGTCACTTTGCCTGTTTCAGTGGCTGGCACCATGCTGACCTGCTGCTCCATGGTGTGGTGTGCAGCACTGGAAAACTTGCTGTCCTCTACGTCTCCTTAGCCTGGGAGAACTAATGGATAAGCTGGAGCTTTGGATCCAGAGTGATTTTTCTTCTTTTCTGATCTTCTTGTGCTGTAAGACATGATGTGACACTTTTGGATCTTTTTCTCCTCCTTTCCATGCTGGAAACAACTTTGTTGGATAAGAGAATGAGTGTGGCTATGCTAGCCAGTCTGGTAAAATGGAAATTTCTGCCCAAAGGAGAAGCTGTATGATGCAAAAGCTTGACCTGCCTATAGGGGCAGGTGCATGGCTGTCTGAGCACTCTGAATTTGATTCTGCTTTTTGAAAAGATGTCTCACACTTGAGCCCTATATCTCTAGTGAGAAATTTTGGCAAAGAAACACCCAAAATATCCAGCCACTGCTTGTGCCATGAGAAGGGATCCAGGTCCCATTGTCAACAGCGAGAGTAAAGAAGGGCCAACACATGAGTCTTGTAGAAAAGTCTCCAGATTTCCTAGAAATTCGCTTGTTTAGGAACACTCCTACTCCTATCACATTTTTTCGTATCAATAACTCATTTTAATAAGCAGACACTCGTTGAAGTCAGGACAAGCTGTGAGGAAAAGACTTGCTTGAATGCTCTCCAGATCTCGGATAGTTGCAGATCTGCTCCCTTTCTCTTGGTGTGTGGTGAAGGTCAGGGCAGTGCCTCAGGGCAGTCGATGTACACTCTGACATCTCTATCCCTTCCGTGCTTTTTCTGGCTTTCTCTCTACTTCCCTCTCTTTGCACAGAACAAGGTTTGATCTCTACTGTTTCACACAATACCACCAGATTTTTGACCAGGAAACCATCTATGAACAAGGAGTGTACCTGATATTAAACACTCCCCAAAACTATTTTTAGCAGCTATTTGTCACCATGCTCAACCTTGAACAAATGAGCAGGCTGTGATTTCTCCAATGAGCCCGGCCACCAGCTCATGTGGAGCTAAGCTAATAACCTTGGTGCCTTTTGAAATGTCCAGCACCACACTGTCAGGATGCAGTTTGCTGGTGAAGAAAGAGGTTAATATTTAACCTCTTGTCCCCTTTAAAGAAATTTATGAATGTACATGAGCTCCTCTGGTTTTATGCAGAAGTAAAAAGAATGATTACTACCACTGCACAGTGGGCGGACCTGAAGCTGTTATTTGTTTATTGTTAAATCAGACAGGTTTATAGAATGATTTTGTTAGCATTTCATGCCTTTTGTTTGCATGTCTTTTCTGCCAGCTTGTAGAGTTCTCAGACTGCAGTGCATTGCAAAGAAAGATGGAAAAGGTAAAGCATTTTGATGGCCATAAACCATCCCTCAGCATGTGAATGGATTAAATGTGCATGTTCCATTGGCTTTTATGTGCAAATAAAATACACCACCCCTACGAAATCAGAGAAAGTATGGGGGAAAAAAATGATTTGTGCATAGAAATTAATCCAGCAACAAGAAGGAGTGAATCTGTCAGCAGAGATGGGCACTCTGTGAGCTCCAATGGAGCACTCAGAGCTCCTTCTCCTGCTGTCTCCTTGTATGCTGCTCATTAATTAGCACAATTCCTACCTGATTGGCATTAAATATGGATTGTTTTAGCAGAGTAATAATGGCATCTCTTATGTAGGCAGGTGGCAAAGGAGAGCTTTATCATCTGCAATTCCTATGGAAAACTATTAGTTTGCTGCTGTTCGCTTCAAATCAATGCCTGTGCCCAAATCTACTGGATTCTCCAGAGGTTCCTTGTCACGTGCTCTGTACTGATGTGGCAAGGCAGCAAGGACAAAATGTTTGGGAAACATGGGATTGTTGCAATCCCACAAACACACCGCTGTTTGCCCAAGAGCTGCAGCGAGCGCTCTGCATGCCAGCATCCTCAGTGTGCTCATGGCAAAAGGACCCGGGGCTGCTCCGAGTATGGAAACGTCAGATGGAGGAGATGTTTGTTTTCTCATCTGCTTCCCACAGCCTGAGACATGTGGTGAATTCCTTGGAGGGAGATGCGGGCATCGTTCTGCCCTCCCTCCAAATTCCCTGGGGAGAAGTCGAGGTCAGAGACGCGCTGTCCCCGAGCAACAGCTTCGCAGGGACGTTTTCCCACTGACGTCTCCTTGCGTGGGGTTGCAGGGGTTCTTCTCATCCCTGGCACCCATCTGCCTGCAGGGATGCTGAGCTGTTTGGGGTGGGGGAGCGGAGCCGTGTGCATCGTGGTTGGACATTAGGAAAAAAATACTCTATGGAAGAGAGATCAGGCATTGGCACAGATTACACAGGGAGGTGGCAGAGTCACCATCCCTGGAGGTGTTCCAGAACCATGGCAATGTGGCACTGGTGGGATTGGGTTGTTGTTGGGTTGGGGATCTTGGTGGTCTTCTGCAACCTGAATAATTCTATAATTCTATAGGGGGCTGTCCCTCAGCCATCAGCCTGATCCAGGTCTTTCCATTCATTGGCTTTGGAAATCGGAGCATGAATTGAGGACAGCATGAGAGAAAAAGGATGGGGAGTGAGGCTTGCTGGACACGTACTGGAAATAGTGGAGTTTTAGTCCTTTCTTACTGTGAGCAAAGCCAAAATCACATCTAGACCAGAGCACCTTCTGCACAGCCATGCCTTGCCACCATGACCTACACCTTGCCTTTTACAAGCACAATAATTATAGCAATATAATTACCACATAGCAATAAATTATTTTTGTACAGGTAAAACATTAACTCCCTTTTGTATCTAGTTCCACAGCATCTTGGGTACTTTCAGTGACAACACCCAAATCACCTTGAGAAAGTCAGCCAGGACGTCCACTTACACTTGAGATTGAGCTTATCAGGGTATGAGGAAAGCACTGAAATATGTGCCATAAAAGCAGACTGGTGAAAAACAAGCTGGAAGCTCTTAAAGGAGTCTGTCATAGGGGAGCAGGAGAGGTTTTTGGGACCCATGTAATTGTGTTCATTGATTACTATGGGAAAATTATCTTGTCTTGGGAGTGGGTACAAAGAGCCTATTCGTTCCAAAGAGAGCATCTGCTATGGAGCCAGATGTGAGAAGTAGGGCAGAGACCTGCCAGGAAAAGGTTGGCTTTGGGTTGGCTTCTTTCTGTTCAAAGCTGGATGCTGCCTGGTGTATAGAAAAAAAGCAGTGAAGGGTCAATCTGTTCTGAAGATTAACTATAGCTTATGGATGTATTTGAAGTGACCACTCATCTTTCTTTAAATCACCTTTTAACTGTCTCAGACTGAAGAGGCTTCACTGCTACATGTGCATGCAGAGTGCCTCTTCCAAATGGACTCCACCAAAAGTGGCTCTGAGGTGTAAAACCTAAAAATGGCTCTGGTGTCTCAGCCCTTGCAGCCCCGTGCCCAGCCCACCCTGTTCAACTGCCAGCAAAGCTGAGTGCCAAATCCTGGAAAACAAGCAGCAGGCTTCTATGCGTCATGGGAAGTATTGATTTTACTGCTGTTGCCTGTTTTCTGCCCTTTCACTTTGTTGGCCTCTCATCGGGGGCCTGTTAGGAACACAGATAAGAGGTTTGACCCAAGCTGACAAAAGCCCATAAACCAGGCAGCTTTTCCATCCCATGTTTGAAGAAATCTGGAGAAATGTATCCTGAGCAAAGAATCACAGAATCATCAAGGCTGGAAAAGACTTCCAAGATCCCCCAGCCAACCCCAACCCACCCCAACATGCCATAAGCACATCTCTCAGTGCCACATTCTCATGGCTCACATCTCCATGGATGATGATCCCACCACCTTCCTGGGCTGCCCGTGCAGGTGCGTCACTGCTCTTGCAAGAGAAGAAATCTTTCCTAATATCCAACCTGAAAGGAACCTGAGAAGGGACCAATGGGGTGGGCAGGGCCAATGGCTGTAACGGGGAGCAGTGGGTTGAATTGAAGTTTCTTTCCTTCTGAGCTTCTTTAATGAGGAGACTTCTGCTCCCCGGCTCTCTTTGCAGCGGTGCAGAATGAGCGCGACAGGATCAGCATCCGTAGGAGCAGCTATGAAGACAACGGCTCGCTGTCCATCAGTGTGCTCACCCAGGCCGAGGCAATGGCACAGCAGGTAGGAGACCTAAGGACAACCCCCAAACAAGACGCAGCCTTTGAGGTGTGAGATGCAGAGCTGCAATTCTGAGGGATGCCCCGGGTCCCCTCTGCCCCCACCCCAATTATTGCTGCACCCTAAAAGCTCTCCGAAGTTCAGGCAGAAGTTCAGCAGCTCTCTCTGCACAATGTGTCCTGGCCAGAACACAATGTTCCCATCATGGCCAATTACATCTTTTATTTGTTACTTCGTTTTTACCAGGCAGAAAAAAAAATAAAGCTAACAAAATTGCTGTCTTAAACAGATGCTGGTTGCTTTCTGGTTTCACAACGAATTTCGCCCTGAGTGTCCTTTAAATTGTTATGCAAATCGCCTCTCGCCACTGAGGCATATGGTCCAGATGTTGCAGATTACATGCAACAGTGCATCCATTTCCCTTGCAAAAATCATTACGTTTTAACTCTCTGCCCACCGTGCAGCTCTTTAGAGATCAAAGTGGATGAGATTCATCCCAGACACCCACCTCGGGGGCAGCGCATTTCATGCATTTTGCTGGTTTGCTGCGAAGCTGAGCCCCAGTGCTGTAAGAACGGGGACACGGAACAGGCTGTGAAAGAAGCAGGGATGGGACGTGGTGCTGGGACCGAGCACCACCTCGTGGTGCTTTGCCTGGGGAACAAGTGTGCAGCCATCGCTGCGGAGGAAAGACTCGGCTAAGAGAGTGGGGAGGGGTAGGATTGCACTCATCTGAGTATCCATTGCTTCTCTTTCAGTATTTGCCACTGAGCCCCGTTCACAGCGCTGATATAGCAATGAAGAAAGTGGCCACCATCAATGATGTGTGTGAGTCCATGAAGCAGCAGCTGCTGGTGCTGGTGGAGTGGGCCAAGTACATCCCTGCGTTCTGCGAGCTGCCGTTGGATGACCAGGTGATGGGCAAATGCCTTTCCCTGTAGTGCTGCTACCTTCCGTGCTAATTTTCAGCTGTACTTTTCAGTGGGGAAATCTGGTATAGATATATTACTCTGCAAAGCAACATACTGGCAGGAGATGAAGAATAATAAAGGGCAAAGGCAATGAGTTCAGTAGCCTAAAAGCCCAAAAATACAGAACTGGTCACTCCAGTGTGCACAGGGACCCAAACAGTGAGCTTTTCCCTTTACTAAAACCTGGTAGATGACTATAAAAGCCATTTGTTTCCTAAGAACTCAAGCCATCCCCCTTTTTGCTCTTTGAGTTGAAGTTCTATTAAGACCTCTCTCTTCTGTGCTGTCTGCAGGTTGCCTTGCTCAGAGCCCACGCGGGGGAACACCTTCTCCTTGGGGTAGCCAAGCGATCCATACCCTACACCGACTTTCTACTATTAGGTAAAGTACTGAAAGCACTCCTGCTTTTGTTATCTGCACACATAGAACCTGGATAGGTCACTGCACATCTGGCTCAGGATTAAGTGCTCAAGGAGGCCTCTGGAGAAGAGTAGAAAGGGAGAGGCAAAGACATTGTGACTTTTCATAGGGTCATTAAGGTTGGAAAATACCACTGAGATCATTTTTTACACCCGTGCCCTTATGATTTGAAACTGTTGTTGGGAAAACCTCTCTATTAAGCAGGATCTCAAACAGTTGTGTCATGGTTTTGCAACAGATTGTCGGGGCACAGTGAGGTATTTGAGTATTGGTGCTGAAAATTGTAAATCAGAGCAGAAGATGGGACAAACTTTGAGTATGGTATTAATGCACTGATACATGCAAAACTAAGGACCAAAGAGTCAAATCCACACCTTGCTTTTCCATTGTGAACCTGGGTGTTGTTCACAACTCTGCATAGCAGTAGGACTATCTGGCAGCCCAGGTCTGGGCAACCAATGGGTGAGACCATTTCTGCAGTGCATTCAACATTGAATTTCTCCCTTGTCCCCAGGGAATGACTTCATCATCCCAATGCACTGTCCAGAGCTAGAAATCGCTCGTGTGGCCACCAGGATCTTAGATGAACTGGTGAAGCCCTTGAGGGACATCCAGATCGATGACAACGAGTACGCATGCCTTAAAGCCATCATCTTCTTTGATCCAGGTATGTGACTTTCCTGCTCGCAGGAGCAAGCACAGGGCTTGAGGAGATGTTGTGTTATAGGAGGATATGGGAAATAGGGCAATGGGTGGGGAAACGCAGCTCTTCCTCCTGCTTTTGCATTCCTGAGAGCAACTCCGATAGCCAGGCTTAAAACCCCTTGGCAACAGCTCTGCATTTCACCCTATTCCTGAACACTTTGCTATTTAGCACATAGTAGCTCCAGCCAGATGTGCAAGTCTTGGCAGAATTCAGAGGAGTTTTGCTGCTTCTGTAGGTGGCTTCAGGAAAGCCCATTAGTCTGAAATGAAAGAGATGCCTATTAAGGACATGTATGCTCATACTGAATTATGCATTAGCTGAATTAGTTGACTGAGCAGCAGTTTGAAGCACCCATCAGAGTTCTGAGATGAGAATTAAAAACCACAGAGAGCTGTGGACTGTTCAGGGCACTGAGTAGCCAGAAACATCAAGGATGTCTGTTAATGGATCTTGCTGGCAGCCAGCACCAGCGAGAGCAGAGCTGGGGAGCCCAGGGTGGAGAAGAGAGCAGGGAAACATAAAGCAAAGAAAAACTTGCTTTGCATCATCCCTATATTGTCATTCCACAAACACCCCACTCAGGTTCCCCCCAACCGAATGCCTACAGCATGCACACTGTCCCCTCAGCAGAACATTCAGCTTTAGGTGTATTGCCCTGTAGCTTGGAGGAGAGGAGGAGGAATAATTCCAAGCAGAGAGCAACGCCCTTTTGTCTTTGGCATCTATTAGCGTGGAAAATTAGAGTACCATCTTCCATTAATCATTTTTTGCTGTGTTCTCTGATTTGAAATCAAGATACAGGAGTTCTACAAACATCATGATCTTTGGCTTGCCAAAGTGCCTGCTGCAAACCTGTATAGGGATGGTGTTATCATGCTGTTAGACAAATTAGCTCCTCCGCTGATTGGTATCTCAAGCTTTAGATCATTGCAACAAAGAGGCACCATGATTTCATCTGAAAGAAAAGAGTGCCAAATTCTACGGAAGTAAAATTCATTCATGCTAACAAGTAGGCTTATCCTTGGAGTTGCATGTTGACATACAATAACTTGCTAACCATTCTATTGAATCTCTTGGCATGATGATCCCTAGAATGTAGTGCTTGGCCATTCTTTGTAGACTGAAGGAAATGGTCCAGTAGCCAGAAATTTCTGATTTAGGGTGTGAGGAAAATCAGGAGTGGAAAGCTGTAAATTGTGCACTTCAACACACCTTGAATATTTACTTCATTAAGCAAAACTAGACCAGCAGTCCATGGAAAACAGAGGGACCATGGCTCAAAGACATGAAATCAAGGGAAGAAACTAGTGCTAGAGCTCATACATTTAAACAGATAAGCTCTAAACCTGCATGGATTTAGTGAGAAGAATTGAGACTCAAAATGCATGGGTGAAAGTCTCAGCAGTTTGCAGAACAAACACAAATCAGTTTCTAAATCCTTCCTCTTCGCTCATGCACCCAGATGCATCCATCTGAGTTAAGCTCTTTCTATTTGCACTGAAATAGCCTATTCCATCTGAGAAATGAAGCACTGACAGTGCATTGTACATCTGCCAGATGACCTGCACACAGAGATAACTGTCACAGAGTCATTTCTATCTCAGCCTTTTCCCTCCCTGGAGCATAGTTGCCAGCGTAACACTTCTTGGCTGCAAGGGTCATCAATTAACTTCATTTCTTCCATCCCTCCCTAGACTGCAAAGGCCTGAGTGAGCCAGGGAAGGTGAAGAACATGCGTTTCCAGGTCCAGGTCAATCTGGAGGACTACATCAATGACCGCCAATACGATTCCCGGGGCCGCTTCAGTGACATTCTCCTGCTGCTGCCCCCACTGCAGAGCATCACCTGGCAGATGATCGAGCAGGTCCAGTTCATCAAGCTCTTTGGTGTGGCAAGGATCGACAGCTTGCTGCAGGAGATGCTGCTGGGAGGTAGGAGCACTGCTGAGAAAGGGGTTTTATTATGAAGCCATTTAAGGGGCTTCCTGCCTAGATTTTTGTCCTCTAGAGGATAAAGAGGTAAAGATAACGTGGTTCTGGGAGGAGGGAAGTGAAGGATCAGCTTGAATTGTAGCTTAAACATGGGACGTTCTCAACTCAAGTCCAATTCCCAAATGGTTCCCTTCTAGCCTATCTCTGAAAATGTCAGCCCAGGGACAGTTTATAGGAGTGAGTATGCTCTGTGTGCTTCACAGCAGCCAGGAGCTTGACTTAGGCAGCCTACTTGATGCAAGCTGCAGGGAGACAACATATTTTAGCTAGCAATATACCAAATTATATGGGAAACCCTGATAAGGGCAGTAATTGTGAAACACACACATAGACGACCGTGTGGTTGGTTATTAGCTGAAACCCCAACCATTTGGGAGCAAAAAGGCTGAAAGAACAGAGAGCGGGAGCAGGAAGGAAGCAAAGAGGAGCCAAGACATTAACCCCCACCCACAGAGGTCTCCCATATTTCCTGAAAAAAGAGCTTTGTGCCTGACCATCTGGCTTTCTCAGTAATGATGTGAAGAATGATGTCTTTCTTTTCCTGATTACACCGCAGGAACCACCATTGATGTCCAGTACCAGTCAGGACCTCCCAGTCTCAACCTGGACCCATTGCCAGGACATGTGCTCCCAGGCAACATGAGCTCTGTGATTCACGCTGTCCCAGACCGTACGTGCCCATTTTTTTTGCTGTCAGCATAATGAGAGGACTGGGAGGGGGAAAGGATTAAGAAGGCATCATTAGATTTATTGATCTATGTAAGCATCACAATGAATCTGAGTCCACGCCACTCCTTGTCGACTTCCTTTACTATGAAGTCTGGAGACATCTTCCAAAGACAAGGCATGATTTTCAATTAATACCACTAATTAATTAATACCAGGTGGATTTTGAGATGCTACCAAACACAAGAGTTGAAAAAAAAAAAGAAAAAAAGAAAAAAAGAAATGAAGAGTGGTGACTGTGTGTCTATGAACAGACAGTGCTGGGTAACACCACGAAGACTCACACAGAGTTAGCAGTGGGTAGAGGTGCCCTACATAAAGCATCTTGGTTGCTGTCAACCAGATAATACAAAATACAAGATGAACACATGTCCACCTTTGACCTCTCTGGACACTGCTGCCAGGCAATGGCTCTTCATTAAAGCATTTATGCACTGTCATAGCAAATGGACCATGCTATTTACAGCTACTGTAATCACGTATTTCAGTTTCCTTCTGCAAGTTATGATCTTACACTTCTTATAGCATACTTTGCTCTTTCTCAGCCATATAAATCTGTACTATGTTATGTAGCTTTTTCTTTTTTTTTTTTTTCCCCCCCCTTTTTCTTTCCTTTCTTTTTTAAAGCCATCTTGCACAAGGGAAATTAGAGAGATGCTGATGGAGAAACATTATGTTCTGTAAATGAAGTCCAGATGCCAGCAGGTTGAGCTATCTTCTAAGAGTGGAAGGATTAAAAAGTAATTAGGGGCAAGCATTTTCCAAGGGCAGAATAGTGGAAAGAGCTGATGTACGCCTATCAGTCCCTCTGGGCCTCACTGCAACCCAGGAAGAAAGGATGTGCCTGGACTTGGGATCTCTCCCACGTGGCCCACTGCTCCCCCAGCTTCTGCTCTTTAGTTCGTAGGATGGTCTGCTGGTTTTATTTGGATGCTGCTTCACTGAACGACATCCAAGTCCATTTTAATTCTGTCTCTTTTCTCTCCCACAGCATCTCCTGAACCATCCCTTCCATCTCCTTCTACAAGCACAGGCAGCGAAGACTATAAACTAGGCTCTAGCGCAGGGCCAAGCGCCGTAGCACAGCTCTTACCTCAGACACTGATACCCAAGCAGGAGATTTTATAGGGAGAGGTAGAAGGAGAAGCTGGGAGCAATGTGGGAACCACGCAGAATGTGAACCAGGTCCTTTCTTTTTGCAGAGGCAAAGCACAGCAATCCCCTGCCTGCCACCGGACCTGGGGGTCACGCTCTTCCCTGTCAGTGAGTAAAGCAGAGGGCACCAAGCTGCAGCAGGAGCCACAGCACGAGTCATCCCACAGCTCATCCCACTGATCTCACCCTCATCTCACACGTGATTGGGGTTAATGCTCGTCTCGTAGGACCAAGACTGCGAGCTCTTCAGAGCAGGTCCTGATTGCGTTTGGTATCACTAAGCTCCCCGTGGTCATAACCCTTTCAAAGCCCCTGGTTGCTATCATCATAAAAAGAAACACCTGATGCAGCTCCTGTTAATTGGCAGTGAGTACAGCCTGCATCGAATCATCAGTATGGAAAGGTCTATCCCCATTAAAAATGTAATTACACTCTTAATTCTCCCACTGCAAATTAAGCTTTAGGAAGAATATCTTCCTAACTCTTTCATCTTCATCACCCTTCTAGATGTGACTTGTTCCACACAGGCCAGCTAACCTTTACTGCTGCTCAGTTCTTAGTTGTGATCAGGAATGGCAAGGTCTCAACATTTTGTCATTTTCCATACTTCACAATGTATCTGGAGTCCACCCACGAGTCATTTGCAGCCTCTGCTTTATTGGCATATCCATCTAATGCCACTCAGACAGCAGAAAGGAGCTCTGCATCTGACTATGGCAAAACCCACAATGAGCAGCAAGCTCAAGAAACCACCTCTAACCATGATACTACTTAAAACAACCCCAACAGATGACTACACAACCTCAAACGTTCCTGAAGCACAGTCACTGGCACTGTGTTTATTTGCATAAATTGAACATTACTAGAAAGCAGACTCCTGGATTTCTATAGAGCTTACGTTCCTTCCTGTAAAGCCCAATGACCTTCACCAGTCAGCTCTCGATGCATTAAGATGGACTTGGATTGAAAAGCAGGGTGCAATGGGGAATTCTTTGTTCTTGCATGGTGCATTAAACTCAGCCCACGAGCACCGACCCCTGCCTGTCACAATGCTGCGATGACAGCGCCCAGCAAAGGCTTTGTGAGGCTTGTGAAGCACTCTGAGATCCTCAGATGGAGCACATTACAGAAATGCAATCTCGCTGAAAAAGGAAGAGCAGCCGAACCTGCCCCCAAAGGGCGCTACTTTGTACTCAGGTTATTTCTCACTGCTTGGGGAGACATTTTAGAGTTACCATTCTACAACAGACGTCTGAAAACCACTGAAGACTGGGTTGATTTCACCCAGCATCTTAGTGTTTTGTTTTACCAATGCCTATGACAAATTTGACCTGATATTACGTGCTGATGACTCTGATTTGACACAGCTATAGCTGGAGAACAAATTCCACTGCAAGCATTCCTGCTGCGTCCATTCTTGTGTAACATCGCTCCCAGTTCCTCCATCGTGTAAATGACATGCTTTTCTAAAAATTAAATATACATTTATACTCATTAATGGTAAGAAAATAAATCTAGTGGAAATAAATTCCATATGGTTCACAGTTCTTTAAATGACAGCTTGGCTTTCTTGTTTAATTCGAAGTTTTCAAGATTCTCTGTTGATTTCTGCAATGCAAATGCCTTAGGGATTACATACCCATAACACAAGCAAAAGAATCATCTATGCCTGCAAAATACAGCGTCCTCTTAACAATCTAAGACACTACTTAATAGAATAAAATTGATCTGGCACAAGTAGGTAACAGATTCAGGTTCCAGAGCATAGGTAGTCTGGTAAAGCCTTCAGAAAACAATAATTTCTTGTCTTACGAGAGGCCTGCATTTAGGGCCAGAACAGAATCACAGCAAAAGTGTTTCCAGCATCTCTACATCAAATACCACCCCTAAATTAAACCCATGTTCTTGGAAAGAACATATTTAATCTGGAATAGTGTCAGCCATTGCTTTACATACATATAGATTACAAACCTAAGGATGCAACACCATTACCCTGGAAAGATTTAAATATATATGTGCAAAAACAAGTTATACATATGGGGCAGAAGTGAATCAACTGTAAGACTTCAATTAATTACTTTATTTCTTTCTTTACATTAAAAAATTACAAGGGTTTGAAAAGCCAAGTAAACCTGATTTCACACACGCACACACTTGCTAAGTCACAGAGTTCATCCGTTTGAAGTGATAGTTTCTGATTCTCATCAGGATATTTTATTAAACAATATACACATTGAGAGCCTCATGACAAAGCCAGACATTATTTTTTTTTTCCCAGCATTTAAGATGTGCAACTGAATATGCAAAGATTCTCGTGGAACTTCTGCCTTCCCCTTCACTTGTGTGAGATACAGCTTTGTTCAACTGGCTGCAGTTTCAATGGCTGTGTCCACCCAGTGCCCACTCTCCAGACTTACACACCATCTCCCCCAAGCAAACTGAACGTACTGCACAGTATTGCACAGTTCTGTTTGCAGGGTGGTTGGTAAGAAAGGGACCCTTTGGTAAGTTTACTCACACAATAGTATGAAACCTGATGAAATGAGAGGCCACGGACAGCTAGAAATGGAGAAGCAGGTCACTGAAGAAAGGAAGCACAACCCCTGTGGTAAGTAAACTTACTGGCATAAGATTCTCCAGCACACTGAACTGCTTGAAGTGGGACAGATCATCAGTGCAACTTGCAAAGCAAAAGCAAGAACAGGACAATTTTAAGGCAAGTCCCAGAACAGGGAGCAAATTACTTTCTAGGCACGATTTCAAGCTCTGCATCAAGGCTCCTGTTTTATCCTTTGTATCGTCAGTAACTTCTAGAAGGAAAAAAAGAGTTTTAATTGTTCAAGAATCCACCTGCAGTTAAATTTCATTACTGGCAATTTGCATTTCATTACTTGCAGGCTTACAAACGTTTCTGAGCACTACTGTTGTTTGTCAGGCCCACATAAAGCAGTTCTAGATCTAGACTGTTCTCTTCTCTTGAAAGCAATTTTGGATGGAAGATGGTAAAATTGAAATTAATCCCTTTTATTGCAGATTTTTCTACTTTGAAGACATGTTGTACTTGAGAAAGAGGCAAGCTGTGTCAGCACTAAAGGAACCTCCCTCATTCTTCCCATTTCTCTGCTCATGGGACCATTTTGCTCATGGGACCATGAATTAACAGTGTTCCCCTCATGAATAATCCAAACAATGAAAAAAAGGAGCAGAACAAGACCTTACAAAGACGACTGCTCTCAGTAGATTGATGCCAATCTGCAGTATTTTTCATTTTAACAGTCACTGGCCCCAGTTATACCTGCTCAGAGGACAAGATACAAACCTCAGAACACCTACATACATAAGTTCCTCTAGAATCAATGCACAAGGATTGAAGATGCATATCTGAGGGCAGAATTCTGCTCTCAGCTGTTAAGTGTCATTTACTGAAGACTCAGAACTTACCTAAATGCCACACGAGATTAATACTGCCAAACACAAGACATGCTGTGAGCCTGGGAAGACATTTGGCAGGGGTGTAATAGTGCCTCTGACATGTTATGCTGTCGTGTGCACAAGTCCCTTGAATCACTTGCATATGAAGAATGTGTGTCTGAGGTGGGACACAAAAGTATAGCTCCATTTATTAGGACAAGCTGAAATATAAATCAAAACTGAACAAACCACTATTCCCTGAAAACTGGATTTAGAAGGCTGGGTCTCATTTGAGATCACCTTTCACCAGAATGCTTCTCCTTACGATTGACAACTGCACTTAAGTATATAATTTTTATAAAAACACACTGGTAATTCCCCAAACATTTATCAAATAAAAAGGGTTTAACAAAAAAAAGCATAATTAATCTCAAAAAATAAATTACAGTAGCATGACAACATTTGGCTTCTTTAGTGTGACCACGTGCTTTTTTTTCTATGTTATCTTGCTGTTAAGACCATTACAGATCCAGTTTGTGTCTCTGAAAGTTAATGAGATGTCTGTGACGATAAACGTATAAAACTCTGCTTGCTACAAGCAAATGTCTGGTATCAGTTTCACCTGGTCACAGATTATATGTAGACAGCCTTTTCTGGCCCCAAATAAATATTATATAGTATTCTTGCAAGTTCCAGCATAACTAGACTCAAACAGAAAATTCAGGTCCTCCTTTCTTCGATCTCAGTAGGATTTGTCTGATCCTAAATCCTGCAAAAGGATTAATCCACAGGAGTGAAGGCTGACCCCCAAAAACAGATTTCATTCCTTCCCATCGCAGCCTCCGCTCCCACGTTGGCTTTTCACTCTTCAGTCTTTCAATCTCCTGTATGCAAACAGATGTGCAGTGACACACTGTCCAAAGTCTACAAGTCATTACTCAAACTGATGATTTCACATTCTTTTAATTTATAGAGAGCTCACTGGTGTCTTACTGATATTTATTTAGCACAAACAAAATGTGAAAAGCTGATTCAACCCTGCAGGTAGACAGAAAAAGACTTACAAATTATTTCTACCTTTTCTCCCAGCCCTCCAAACTGAAAGACAAAATGGGCAGAAAAGCTGATGCTAAAGTTAGAAGATCTGCACACAATACACCTCCACCAAACGTTCTTTACTCTTTTAATGGCATCAAGTAGTGAGGCTCCCAAGAAGATGCTCATATTGTAATTACTGAAGCTAGGCTTACTCTCCCCAAATGCATTTTGTTTTCTTAATTTCCCACTAATGAAAGCCAGATATTTACTGATTTGTTTTTCATTTTGTAACACACGAAGGCCTTTAATACAGGAGTATTCTTCAAACAGCCCCAGATGAGAAAAGTCTAAATAGCCACAATGTTCAAATTCCTTATGTTTCGAGTCAATTATCTGGCATCAAATATCCTCTCAAGGCCTGAAAACTGCAAATCACAGGCCAAGGGGATCAAATGCCCAAACGATGGTTATATTTGAACAAAATATATCAAAGTAGAGAAGCAATGTGAAGAATTAAAACAAAACAGCTGAGGAAAGCAGTCATTTCTCCTGACATTTCAGGAGTTTCTGAAGGTTGAAAAGTCCAAACTGATGTCAGAAGTTGTGCAACATACAAAATTGAAAACCTAACTATAAAACTTATGTCAGAAAAGGAAACAATGCAAGAACATCTGCTAGAAAGCATAAATCAAAGTAGTTTCTCAATTTTATGAGTGAGACTAAAAATTGCGATTCATTTCAGATTTCAGGTTTTGTACAAAATGAGAGTTCTCCTTCATGTAAATCAGATTATATCTAACCACATCTTTCTAGAAGAATTGTTACTGGACACAAAAATAGCAATCTTTACCGTTTCATCATTGCATATGGAGTGGATTTGGGTGCCAAACATGACTGCAGTGAAAGTGAGAAACAGAAAACCCTCAAGGCACAAGAAGATCATCAGGATCACAGTTACAGGTGGAGAGAAGTCACTGCATTCTGTGAAAACAACACATTTAATTATGAAAAAGAATACATCTACAGAGCATGTTCATAGTAAGTTATCTCCTCTTCAATAAACAGCAATAAAAGCTGTTGGATTCTCGAAACATGTCACAATTGTAAGAAACTTAACAGGCATGAGAACATCTTTTAGACCTCACAGAAAAAGGCTAAAGTCTCATAACATGTCACACAAGGGATTGAAGTAAGTGGAAGTGATGACTTTTCCTTAGTAACTTAGTGAAAGTTAAGTGTTTGCTTACCAGTCCACTGCCCTCGGACACAGGAGAAAAACTGAAACCCACACAGTATGAGCGCATGAGCTGAAATTAGGGCTATATACATCTGGAAATGAGAGAGAGTGCTTACTTTTGACTGCTGCCAGGTAGTAAACCAGACACTGTTTTCAGCCAGCCTTTACCACTCCACAGCAAATACACTTTCCTATTTCCAATTTTAGTTCAATGCAATGATGGACAAACAAACTCTAAGTTTGAATCTAAAAACATGGGCAACGGTGAATGTTTATGAAGATTAGCTCCATCACTCACACCACAATTTCAATATCAAATCATTGCTATGTAAAACAGCAAAATTGGGATGACTTAAAATAACAGCACTTTACAAAACAAGTTGACATGAATATGGACAGAAAATACCTGGAGAATAACTTGGATGGGTGGAAAAAAGGAACAAACAAACAAAAAAAAATCACAAAGTAATTTTGCCCTTAAGCCATTACTCTCTACAAACACAATCAAAATAGTAACACTGAATGTAGATTCGTACCAAAATCAAGCTGCTGTTGATTTTCCCTTACCGTAAACAAAACAAAAAATCTCTGATTCTTCTCCCCCACACAGTTATTCACCCAAGGGCAGTGGTGATCCATCTTTCGAATACATCGTTTGCAAATGCTAGGGGAAAGAAAACAAGACTTTAGTTGAGAAACCAGAGCTTGTGCTTTAAAAGAGAAATAAGTGTTCACGGTGGCCAGGAGAAAATGCACTGAAATGAATTTTCGTGATGAACTGAAAAATGAGAAAGTCAAATATTTCAAAAGTTCATTTTACATCTGGCCAACAGCACCAAAGG